ATTCCTGCATGTCTTTTGGTCACTTTTGTTGAGGACAGAAATTGAAGCCACTTGGGGGCACTTATGGAGCCTCACACCTCAGTTCTGGAAATAGAAAAGATTTAAAGTCCAGTCAGTACCCATTATTTATAACAAGAATGTACACGGGGAGTATTCCCTGCGCAAGCATCCATAGAAGCTCCAGAATGCAAAACTGAAGAGAAATAGAAGTACAACATTCAAAAGGAGCTGATCTGATCCCTGTGGAGACTTCTCTGACATTGTTTGCCTTGTTTTGCTATAAATTTCTTTATCTAGAACTATCTGATGCACATAAATGGTCCCTTCTCAGCATGGTTTATTTTGTCACTATGATTTACTTTGCAATGCATTCTGCCATGATCTGCATGCTTTGTATCCCCAATGTTAGCTGGAGGAAAGAGGTGACTTTTATTTGGATGTACTTTGGCCACACAGGCAAGAGTAGTGTTGCAGTTTTCTACCTAAGGATCTTATATGCTCTCCCTTTATCTTTTTATATGAAAGCACTGCAGTCTTTAAATGTATTTGTCATTGCATGGATCCATGGATGCAATCAGATGCTGTCATCTCTGTGTTGAAGATGTGGAAGCTGTGGAAGGGAGCTTGGTGGAGATGTGCTTTTGCCCCTCTGCAGGCTAGAAGCTTGCAGGGTGCCAGGGCTTTGAGGCATAGCTCTGGGCTGGGTTATCCTGTGAGCCTGCCTAGGCTGGCTAAGGGATGACTGGGAGGGGCAGCATACACTGCATTTGAGCCACTTCTCACAGCAGTCTGTCTGAATAGCATATACATATCTAGGAAGATGGCTTCATCTGCCAGAAGTCATCTATGACAGCAGATACTTCCACTTGTCTCTCTGGTATTGTGCTTATCCTTGTTTTCACTTCTAAAGATGCCATTTATTCTTTTTCTTATACAAGATTAGGCTATATGATACACACATTATTATTGCTGTGGGCTATAATAATGCCCACACCACGCAGTTGTCCTTCAGTTACCCTGGTACAGCTAAAGCAGAGAAAGCTCTATCTGTGCAGTCAGATGTCTTTTTGTTCTGTTTTTTGTTGTTGCTGTTGTGTTGTGGTTTTTTTCTAACTACCTTGCATTCTGTGTATGTAAAATATAAAAGACAACGTGTTGATGGAGGAGACTGAATTGTTGTTATGCCTCAGCATTGTTCTGAAGCAAACCACAAGACTTCAGTATGCAGGATATGAAGCAAACTGCAAGGCTTGAGCAAACTTTGTATGTAGGCTTACTCCTATGACTTAATAACAATGTATCTCGCTAGCAAGCAAAACAAGACAGGATGTGCTTGGGCCTGCGAGCTGCAGTATCTGCCAGATGTGCATCATTTCAGAGCGTGTGTGCTCAAGACAAGAGGCAAAGGCCAGCTATGATAAAGACTTGCAGAACATGAAGGGAGACTTGTGAGAGACCCCCTGGCAGCCCTGCAGAGACCCCCTGGTGGCCCTGCACGGGAGGGAGAAGATAACGCAAATTGGTTTCAGGGATCTCCACACCTATTCAGAAAAGAGACAGACACATCAATCATAAAAAGAGCTATGGCTCAACAGCACACTGAAGAAGTTCCCCACCAACTGTAATTGCCAGACCTTCAGGACGCCGCTGGTTCTGTGGTGACTATCTTGTCCTTTGCAAGCTTCGATATTTCTGCTGCCTTCTTGAGCTTCCTTTTCTCTTACTTGCACCTAAGGCTGCTGTTGTGTAACTTCACTACAGTTTGTTGTGTATGTGACATTTGACCTTGTTTGTGTCTTAATTTCACCATTGGGATTATCTCAAATCTCTCTCATCCCAATAACAGATCAAGACAGTTGTTTTATCTAGAAAAGAACATCATACTACCTTCCTGAAACCCTTGGTACTATACATTCAGGGCACTTGAATTATTTCTACAAGAGCTTTTAAGAACAATTTGGGTAAAAGCTGATAGTGTATGAAAGTGAGATGAAGTTTTGTTTAGTGATGGGCAGGGATGTTTGTGTATTATTCCTTTCCTGAGGATTCAGCTTGGATATTTCAGCCTTGCAGCTTCAGCATGTCTCTGCCTATGTATATATGATCATTCGCACCTTGTGTTGATCCTGTCCTCTCTCTGTCCTGCACCAGCTGCCAGTGGGGCCATGTGCTGTGAAGTAGGTTGTATAAGGTTGAGAGATGTCCCTGAGGCCCTGCAATGAGCCACACAGCAAACTCATGTTAATCTGTCATCTGCTCATGATTTCAACCCAGATGAGAGGCTATTTCCCTCATGGAAATACCACATTAACCCACTGCGCTGCTCTGCTCCCTCCCTCCCTCATGTGCTACACAGGTCTCATTGCTTAGCCATTCACTCTATTCCTAGCAACACAGGCTTAAAAAACTTCAAGTAGTGGACATGACCTGTAACTCTTGGAAGACTATAGCTTTTCCATTGTTTGTGGGCTGGCTCCAGCTTCTTATTTGCATTCCAATACAAAGCAGCCATTTTGTCTTCAGAGCCTCTAAAACTGTATTCATCTGAAGGAAGAATCCTGCAGGTATTCTCACTGAGACTTTTGTTCTTTCTTAGTTTGTTTTTTTTTGTCAAACTGCAATATGGAGTCACACTGACTGCATGTCCATACTGCCTCTGTGTCTGTGGAAACACTACTACTAACAGACTCAGAGATCTGTAAAGTCAGTGTGAAAAAGCATTTAAGTATGGTAGCCTGAACTGCACTTTTCTCAGTCATGGGGATGAACTGAGGCTTTGTCTCTGGTTTAAGCATTAGCATCATGCCCAATCCTGTATATGCTTAATAAAGGGCAAGGAAACTGACATGAAGAGAAAATCCTGCAGAAATTCAGCATGACTTCAAAGTTCCTTGCAGAAATGACTGTGAAGTGCATTGTCAAAGTTACTAGGCAAAAAAAAAAACCCAAAACAACCGAACAACAAAAAAAACCACCAAAATTAATCCTAGCTATTTTTATTTACAGCTAGCTTAGCTGGAGGGCCAGGGTGACTAGTTTAGTAGAGTGGCTGTGAATTACAGCAGACGAGGGAGCCCAGTAGCCTTCACCACAGCTCAAGGCAGCAGCTCAAATCCACAACAAAAGGCAATGATCACTCAGTTGGTATATAGCAAAGAAGGGCTGAAATAAGCCCAGGTGCTTATACTTGAGTTCTCTGTATGTTGTAGACTCTGGAAGGAGCTTGCACTATATAATGTTGTTGGGGCATTGCACTCAGCCCCCATCTATCATCCTCACTCTGTGTTATCAGGAAGATAAGCTTAAAGCTTTCAGGAATCTATGCTTTAAGTTAAGAGGCGTGTATGCGTTATCAGGAATACATGTGTGAAGTGTGCACTGCTGTGGCCGTTGGCATTACGAGCGGAGCCAGGAACCTTCCTGTCGCCTCCCGTGAGCTCCCTGCGGGCTGTAGCAGTGGCGGAGCCCGTCGGGGAGACGCCGACGCACCCCGAGACCTTCCTACGCCCCGGGGGAGCCCCTGCCCTTCCGAACCGTCCGTCGCGGCAACACCGGCGAGCGGCAGCCCCGTAGGTGCCGGCACCGCGGCGTTTAGCGAGGGGAGCCCCTCCCGGCTCCGCTCCGTGGGTCCCGCCACCCCAGCTCCTAGGCCGACGACTTTCCCGCCCAGG